GCTGGGGCAGCATGATGAGTCTGGCCGAAAAGAACACGCCATTTATTACCTTAGCAAAAAGTTTACCAACTGTGAGACCCGGTACTCACTGCTCGAGAAAACTTGCTGCGCTTTGGTATGGGCTGCTCGCCGGCTGAGACAGTATATGTTGACTCACACTACTCTGTTGATTTCAAAAATGGATCCAATAAAGTACATATTCGAAAAGCCTGCTCTGTCTGGAAGAATAGCAAGATGGCAAATGATCTTTACGGAATATGACATCCAGTACACGACTCAAAAGGCAATCAAGGGAAGTGTATTGGCAGACCATTTGGCACACCAGGCAGTGGACGACTACCAGTCGATGAACTTTGAATTTCCAGACGAGGATATCATGGTAGTGTTGTACCCCAAAATTTTCCCTCCCATTTCCTCAACATTTTCTCATCACAAGACCCTTGAAGATCAAGACCCAGTTAGGGTTTCCTCTGCTCAAGGCTTCTCCTTGCACAGTTGACCCAAATTAGGGTTTGTGTTTGCACAAAGAGATTTTGACCCAAAATGCCTAGGATGACTTTCATGCTTCATGTTGGACTCCCAAGTTTATCCATACCAAGTTTCAAGTCTTGATTCCAAATTTTGCCCAGTCAATTGGACAGTTGACCTAGAAATCAGCTATATTGGGGAAAAAGTCAACTGTGGCCAATTGACAGTCAAATCTCATGAAAATTGACCCACATCAACATTATGAACTCACATGAACCATTTAATCAAGTTTGGATCACAATTCCACAAGAAATTTGATCAGATCATCAAAAGGGCAAAATGGTCATTTTTAGGGTTTTGACTGCACAAAGGCAATTTTTGACTGTTTGACCCAACCAATGGCAAACCAAGCTCACATATGGACTCAAGGACCCCATGGAATCATCTTGACATGCTCAACAAGTTCAAAAGATCCCAAGTACACAAGATTGATAGTTGAATTTCCCAGTCAACTGATCAATTTTGACTGTATACTGAAAAGTCAAACTTTGACTTTTTGGTCAAAATCAAGAGTCAAGATTCATTTTTCATCAAAACATGCCAAATCATGAAACTTGTTCACCAAGAAATCAAGAAATGCAAATTAGGGTTTGAAATGGGAATTTTTCATAACTTAGAATTTTTCTAAGTTATGGAAAACCCTAATTTTTTCCCAACTTTGCCCCACTTTCTCACCAAGATTCATTTGGATTCAAATAAAAGTCAAAACATGAAAGTTGTAGCTTGTTGCATAATCTACAACTTTGATTCACAAAGTTTTCCCAAATGAAGCTTGTATCTCAAGTTACAATTTTTTGAATAGGGGTACTAAACCATTCTTAACTTAGTGAAAATTTGACCTTTTTGACAAGGTTTTCTACCTAACTTCAAGGCCATTTTCCATACACTTCCACTTGGAATTTCAATTTTCATTTCAAAGATGGATTGTAGTACACATTCCAAGCTTTCCAAAATGTCCAAGAACTTCTCAAACAACTTCATAACTTGAGAGAATCGAATTTCACAATATGGCCAAAACTCACTTTTGAATTGATCATGTACATGTTCATAACTTAGGCCATTTTCAAGTCAGCATAGTTTGTGCTACATTACAGGTCCTAAAACCCTTTGACACTCAAAAATTTAATGCCAAACCTTTGTGCCAAGACCATGTTTTGTGTATTCAAGCATTGTCTAGAAGATTAATCCATTTATAGATAAAGCATTATTTCCATTTTGAAAAAGTAGAACTTTATGTCCATTTTGCAAATCCAAGTGGTACAGTCAAAATCTTCTAGGCACAAGTTATGAGACACATTGCACTGATCAAGGCAAGGGTTTGCAGCATGTTATGGGGGCCTGCATCAGTCTAGAACATCAACTTGCCTTTTGTTGCTTAAGAAAGAAGAAACATAGCATAACTGGTACCAACTCTCATATCAGCTTACAAACACTTAAGCAAACTTGTGAAACACATTCAAGAGATACCAACTGAGCTAGTACACGACCCTAACATCCCTCATACACTCCCATTCCCAGAATCACCTTCAAACTGCAAGAACAGGGCAGGGCCTGCAGTTTGAGTGCCATCTTTCATTCCTCTCAAGCTTTCTTGCCCAAACCAGTTCACACACCTTCCATACCATCTATGCAAGCTAACCAAAACCTAAAACACGACCTGTAATCCCTCTAACTGGTTCTACCATTTTCACTTTTCTGATTTGCAGGTGAAGTGCTCTAGCTCGATTCAAAAGCTTTCAAGACAAAGTAAAGCTTGGAATAGCATCCCTGGACCTCAAGGAAACTATCCCAATCATCACCTTGCACTGAAAGCTTCTCCATTGCCAGATAGAACTTCAACTGAACAGGTAAGTTTTTGAATTCGTATCTCTCTTATTAGGCATTGTTAGCTTTAGGTTTGTGAAGAGAATATGTCACAATCATTGCCCTGAACATGCCCATATAATTAGATTTTATTTATATTATGTGTGTTGCAAGAATTTTGAGTCTGAACATGGAGGAAAATCTAGGTCAGGATTTGGGGAAGAAGAAATTCTCCCTCATCTTAGAGAGTTAAGACAAGTTCTGCATATGGTTGGATTCGTCTCTTAATGCTGAACATTTTTGATGTTATGAGTTTTCATTAACAAGCCAGGAATCAGGATGTTTGAATGGAGGAACAAAGCGCGCGTTTTTTGAACGTTTCTGGCTGGAGGTTGAAGAAGGGTCTATTGGGTTGGGCTTGTTCCATATTTCTTATTTGCACCATGTTTTTGGTTTTACACCCCCTAAGCCCATTTCATTCATTTTAATGTTTTTTTTACTTTTCTTTTTTTGGCCTGACTTATTTATTTTTCCTCATCATACAAAAAATATAAAAATATTTTTTATACCATTTTCCTATTTATTAGATATTTATTTGATTGGACTAGTTATTTGAACATAAATAAGTAAATAAATATACTTTTATTTAAAAAATGTTAAAATAGTGTAAATACATTTTTATTTTTATTTTATTTCATTTTATACTCTGAAAATATTTTATGTGAAATATACTTTTTTTACAAAAATTAAATATTATTATTTTTGTGCATATTTAAAATAATTTGTAAATAATACAAATAAATACATATATATTAATATACTTAGAATAAAATACCAAAAATATACATATTTTTATTTTATTAATATTTAATGCTAAAAATACATTTTTTACAAATATACTTCATTCTTATTTTATTTTTGTACACAAATAATAAATATTGTATATATTGAATAAATAATACATTTTATTTAATAGAATTAGGGTTTTGCCCTAAACATGAAAAACTCCAAAAAAATAATACTTTCCTTTTCTTTATTTTGACATGTAAAAATACCTTTTTCCATACATACAAAAAAACATTTTTTGGCATCTTGCACATTTGTTCTATTTTATTTAATTTATGCAAATTAATCACCTTGTAAATAATTCAATATTGATGTAATAGTTTTAGGTTTAAATTCCTTGTCAAAATCCCCATTCGAACATTTGTACCCCCCTTCCCATATATGGTTTTGTAATAGCTTAGTAAATTTATTTTCGCACTTTATTGCTTTCTAATTATACCATGTTAGAATTAGGGTTTGTATGCGAAAATAACGAAAAATAGTTTTGACCTAATTTCAAGATAAACGAGCATGAAAATGGACACACAAATCACACTGGCACCCCCTAGGGTATTCCACTTGTTGCCTTTCAAAATTGGGCCATATTGCATGTTAGGTCTCTTTGGGCAAAACAAACAAATCAAATGATCATAGTCCCTCGATAACCCTTTCAAAATGTTGCCTAAACAAATGATCAAGTCCCTTAAAGAAAATGCCCAAAGATACTTGGCACCATTGCAATTATGGTCTAAACGATGACCCGCGCCCGTCCCTTTCACATCCTAACATGAGATTGTCCACCAAATACAATGGTGGAACAAACTTGTTAAAAGGGTTAAAACATAGCAATAAACTTTGAGAAATTTAGGAGTAGATAACCTCTTAGTTACTTGAATCAAACTTGCAAAAACAAAACACTTGCCTATTTGCTAAAAAACCACACCTCACAACACTTTCAAAACAACTTTCAAAAACAAATGAAAACCTTTTCAAAAGACATACATCTTTGTATACATCCCCACATGGATCATTACAAAGGTTGCCACCACATTGGCTTCTTTTCAAAACATTTTCAAACCCACACACACAAGCACCATTTCAAACAATTGAAAACAAAAGGCAAGTGATCTAAGCAAGTAACTAAGAGCCCATGGATAACCATGGATAGAAAGGGTGCTAATACCTTCCCTTTCTATAATCTCACTACGCCAAATAAGCTATTTAATAGCATTTTTGTTTTGTTTTTGATAGCGCTTAAAAGTGCTATTAACCGCGCCACTATTGTAAATATTTCTTATTTAATAGCACTTTAAAAGCGCTATTAAAGTACCAATTTATAATAGCGTTTTAATTAAAGTGCTATCAAAGTCAGTATTTTGCATGTTTTTTGTTTGTTTTTTTATAGCACTCTAAACAAAAAGCGCTAATATATAACATATGTTTGATAGCGCTTTCAAATAAAGTGCTAATAAATGGTACATATTTTTAATAAGTACAGTACAATATTTTTTCTTACACAATCATTTTTTTTGGTGTAAATATAAAATAACTATATTCAATTCAACACAAATAACGCTTTAAGTTACTCATTGCATATATATTATGATTCATCAAATACCAAATAATATTTTAAATTACCAAATCCTATTGTTTCCAAATAAAGAAAAACTAGCACAACAGTGAATGCATCTTTAATTCTCATTTCTTGGGTTAAGTGATCAAGTGTGTAGAAGCGTGTTCCTTGTTCCTACCTTACAAAATAAATAAGGAATATCTACAATCACTTATTCCCACCACTGTGAGTTCTCTATGGTACAATTTGGCCTAAAGTTATAAACATGTTTCTATCTCATGGGTGCTGGCATAGCAAGCTCGTTAGGGAGATTTGGCTGAGCGACCTCGCCAACTACAACAGCAGCTTGCCGTCTTTGCCTTTCGCGCAGATACAACACAGTTAGGAGGCATGCAAAGAGGGTTAGAATTGTGGCATTTCCCTCCTCCAAAAGCACATTCTCCACCCAAGCTTCTAATTTTGGATAGACATCTGGCAAAGAGTCAATTATTTGGACCTGAAAAAAATAAGCACATTGCGATCAGGAACTAGAATAGAAGTGTGAAAACTGAAATACTGTTTAGAAAGAATAACACAACAAAAGAAGTCAACTTTAAAGGCGAGTCAGGTTAAAGACAACAATCATGCAAGGCCACAATTCATTTTCTTTCACCAAGTGGGATTTTTCAATAAGCCAAACAGTCCAAGCGTTCATAGAAATGGCCGAGATGTGTTAAGAGTGAAATTATTTCAGTATCTTCACACCACGTTATTAAAAACTCATCAAATATGCGAGTTACTGACCCCTACATTGGGGAAAATGATGTGGCACATTCACATATCAAAAATACAAGTTAAGCTACAGAAGTGTGAAGTGTTTGATTAGCCATTTAAATAGATCATTAAGCAATTGAGACAGAATATCATATCTCCACCTACGACCTAAATGAACAAAAATTACATCAGGTAACCAAGACAGCAACATGAAAAGTATCATTACATTTGAACATAGTCAACTATCACTTACTGGTTGTTACTGTGCACATGCAGTATTGCAGCAGGTAAGCCAAAGAAACTCACCAATATACTGTCAGCATGGTTCATCCGAACCCACAGGCTTGTAAGTTCCAGTGTAACTGGCAACTTAGCTGCAGGATCATGCACTAAAGCTTCATCATAGTAACGCTTGGCTAGATGAAGGTCAAGGGGAAGTCATTGGCCATGCTCATGCATGTACCCAAGATTAAACATGGCCTGTGCATTAGATTGCGATTTGGCATGCATGTAAGCCTCAGCAGCTCGGTCATAATCCCTGACAGTTCCCTGAGATAAAAGAGAGAGAAACACAACAAAATGAAGTTAGGTTATAGGTAAAGAGTGCACCATGTCTTAAATTGAAAGTTCAAAGCACACACATGCTTAATTCATTTCAAAATCACATACCATGCCATAGTAATATGCGTCTCCAATTAGTAAAGCAGCATGTTCGTTACCCTGCTCAGAAGCTTGCCACCACAAAGAGTGTGCCCGCTGATGCCTTTCTGCATCAGTGCAAAGTCCAGATTCACCCATGCACATGCTTCGTTCTCCATATTTATCAAGAATCCAAGCAGCATTACTTTGTGCCACCTCATAGCCCATCTCGGCCATTCTTGAATACAACATATATGCCTTGCCAACATCACCTTTTAAGTATGCTTCCAGTGCCCATCTGGACAAAGAGCTCCATGGACCTCGTTCCGCAACTAATTTGTATAAGGCAGTAGCCTAAGACCACAAGTTCAAACTTGTTAGCACATAAAATTGTTGGAAGAGACTTGTATTTTGATATAATAATCAATAGGGATGGCACTCATATTCAATAATGACTCCATCATAATTATATTCTAATGGATGATGTGATACAAACCAGATGAAACACATACAATATATCAATGAACTTCTTGAATTGGCAGAATTGTCTCTAAATGAACCAAACTTAAAAGCCATGCTTTATATGATGATGGCAATAGGGGAGAAGAGACTGAATCAGTTAGCATTAGACAAAAAAATTATTAAAGAAGCTTATAAATTGTTTACAATTGCATAGAGTCAAAACTTATTTTAGTTCTTTTAATAGTGATTTTGTGACATCCAAACATAGAGGTTAAAATATATTATGAAAATTGTGACCATTATAGTTATACATCAATGAAGAATGATCAATGCCTTTTTTTAAGTAGTATTCTACATATTTTTCTATAAATTTTGTCAATGTATCTAGGCCGCACCGTATCCAAAATATCAAAAGTTCCAAGTAACCGTATCGCACCCGCACTCGTGCTATGTATCCAGACATCATAGGCTAGGCTTCTCCATTCATAACAACTTACTAATTTCCAAAATATGTCTCCATTTCCCAGCACCTAGCCTAATGATACATGTAACTCATGTTTCATGCAACTACCCTCTTCTTAGCATTCTCAATCTGCCAGCTCAGACACTCACCCCTTTCCTTGGAGTGTAAATTTTCCAGATCTTTGGGCCGTTTCCTACTGGGTCCAGGTCCAATCTAAATTATCTTTGGCCCTATCATTACACATAATCTTAAGTGGCGTCGACTGTAGACTGTGTGCACGCACGCATGGGAAAGGGAGTCAGTAACCTTGTACAATAAACCACAGATAGGAACCAGGTATATCATCAATAGGCAGAATTACACGGTGGGTCAATACTCTGATAAAAAAGAGTGTTGTAGATGTATTAAGACTAGTGAAATAGCAATGGAAATGGAGACAAGCTCCTTGCAGAAGGAAATAGAAACAAACAATGGCAAGAAAGCTTCACAAGATGGAGAGACCTCAGCTCTACTTTACAGCAGTCCCCAATGATTCCCCACACAAGTTTCAAGCATAGTTTCCTCTTCTCCTGCGCTGCCATGTGTCAGAGAGGCCTCAACTCAACATTACAGCAGTCCCCAGTGGAATCCTGCTTACTGCCATTCTGTTACAACTGTCCTTAAACTAATCATTCCACATTTCCTATCGCTCCTCCCACACACAATTCACACTTATTTCCCTTCTCTCATGTGCTGCCACGTGTCAGTTCTATTACATTCCCTTTGTTCCCCATTACTCCATCCTTCTTACCTAACGAAAGGCCTTTCCCTTGCCCAAACATGGGCTGACCACAATCGTTCATCCCATCATTCCTAATTAGGACATCTTCTACATTTTCTTGTCATCTCCTCTTATAAAATTGAACAATGGGTCTATCAGCCACTTAAAGAGGATGTATGACAGGGATACAAGAAAAATTCAAGGTACCCGGAACTAATCAGTTATGTCAACAATATGTCCCATTTTACTAATCAGTACATGTAGAGGATGGTTATTCTCAATATCATGCCACCTTATGTTTGAGTAGAGTTCTCTAACCTGAAAATGTGGGATAGTTTATCTTGGATTACAGGGCGATAGATATTTCATTAATGAGAAGAAGAGAAAGCTACTCATTGTGAAATAACATTGAATAGAAAGCTACTAACATGTGCATATGCATTCATCATTCCAATATATTTACATATATCACTAGATTTTTCATGTTCATTCTGGGTTTATCAGGTTAACTGTGACACTCACTTGACTTCATATGATTGCCAACAGTTATTCGTGTTCATTTTGGGATCCTATTCTAATTTGAATATAGAACTCTTCTCTTTTTTTTCACAATCATTTGGATACAGCAAAAACAACCAAGATATTTTCTCAATCATCCTCTACAAGGAAGAGGTTTCTTTTGGAAAAACCAGTTTTTAAATCTAAACAATCCCCGTTCCTCAATAATAATAGTTGAACTTGAACTGTGACTTCCTTTAGATATATAGGAAATCCCTTTGCTTAAAAACAATGAATAATAAAATGAAAAAACACATTACAAGCAATACTATATTGAAACTTGCAACATTTTGCAACAAAAAATATATATGACAACTGATTAACTAATAATATAGTGATCATCATTTGGGGCAGCATTCCCATCTCTTTATTTATGTACATAAATACAATAGGAAACAACAGTTGCCATAATAGAAAATGCAATATTGAAATAAAAAGGGTTTTGCTAACTTCTGCCCTAAGGGCAATTGTTAATTAACTCGAAAAGGAATTAAAAGACAAGTTTTGAGTCTAGAACAAAAATCCTTAAACTCTCACAATATTGAATACACAATTTCAAAGATTATATTTCTAGATTTGGTTTCTTAACATAGCATTTGCCAATAAATAAATAAATATAGCAGAAAAGGCCTGTTAATATTTGCCCCTAGAAGAGTTAATGTCTTTACATTGCAATTGCCATTGAAATTCTGATTTTAACACAGCCAATTTTAATTGAAAAGTTTTGAACTTTTCAGCTTTCATGTTTGAAGTACAAAAATATGCAGTGTCTCCAATAATCAAACTACAACAATAAAAAATTGCATATGAGAGAGCATCAATAACACCAGGAGCACAGGTAAAGTCATATGCCAAGAGCAATCAGCAAGTAATAAAATCATACCTGTAAAGCCAGCTGATCAACGCTTGTTGACATCTCAACAACAGCTCGCCAGGAAACACATCTGCTTCTCTTAGCAAAGTCTGAATTTTCAGGATATAAAATACCTGGTATCTTTCTAAACCCAGCTGCAGAAAATCATACTTCCAAATAAACTCAAAATGATTATTAAGATGGATAACACAACCACCACCAGTGATATACTAAAGAGAACAATTTACAAACCTTGTCTAGCAGCCTTGGTAACAAAGGAACGAGGAAGGACCTTGCAATTAAACAACTTTCGAGAAAGCCTACCACCTCTCCACCAATACATTCCCAAACCACCGGTAGTCTTTGAAGATGAACTGGATTCAATATCTGAATGTCTGGCTCTTGTCTTTTCAACCAAGTCATTATACGACAACTCTATTTCCATTTTAGCATATATTACCTGCATGTGTTATACTTCTTATTATGTCAGCTATGTTCTTTAACTTTAGGAATAAATGTCAAAAGACAATGATAAAACAGAGAACAATAATAAAACCTCAACATTGTATGAAAAACATAGAACAGTGATGAAACCAACCTGAATGTAGTTAATTAACAGACACTTCTCCTGATACTGTTTCTCCAAAGAGATTTCTTCCAAAGCATTATACAACACACTTTCAATCTCATCCTCATCAATCTATTTCATTTCATCGGAAAAACAAAAATAATCAAGTACAGTAACAAGTACAAATCCATAACCAAAACAATGAAAAGTTAGGTTCACAAATTCTCACATTGATATCACCATGCTTGTCCAAATCAACAAAATCAGCATACGGAACAAAGTGCCGCCAAAACCTGGACGCCCCATTTCGCTCAAAAGTTTCCTGAAACCAAAGGGATCTATCTATACTCAATAAAAATTGGAACTTTGTAATTCTAGTAATGAAATATTTTTGTTGGGCACCTCTAATACTCTGAGAAAGTGGTCGCGAACTAGTGATTCGAGGCCGTGTTTGCATAGGGTGTGAACATGGGAAACAAATTGAGCACCGTATGAGAGGTCGCCGGCACCGCCGAGAAGAGATTGTGTGGCGTTGCAGAAGGCGTCGTAGCTGTCGAGGATTTCGTGAAGTTCGTCTTGGGTGAGAGTGTCGAGAATACCTAGGTTGAACAGAGATGAATGTGAATCGTCCATTGCCATTATCGCGAGTGAGTGAAGTTGGTGATCGTTGGTGATGCCACGGTGCTACTCCTTCGCAATGGGTTTGGGTTTAGATATTGGGGTTTTGGTGCGGGGGAAAATGTGTTTTTTTTTTTTATCAATTAATTAATTAATTCATTATTATATATAACATAGCGCTTTTTAATAAATGCTATTATATAGGTAGTCAAATAATAGCGTTTTATACAAAATGCTATCTTAAAGAAGTTTAATAATAGCGTTCTGGTACAAAGTGCTATCAAAATTACATAGTCTGTATTATATAATAGCGCCCAATTAAAAAGTGCTATTATAAATGTGTTTTTTCCATTTTAATAGCATTTTTTTTAAAAGTGCTATTAAATTAGGTGATACAAAAAAATCATTTTTGGCGTAGTGTCTACTCCCCGAACCCAAGAAACATCTCAAAAGGTTTTTGCTGTGCTTTTTAACCTTTCCTTAGGATAAAATAAAAAGTCGGTGGCGACTCTTGCTCAACCGAAACATTTGCGAAAACAAACGCAAAACCTCAAGTCAGTTCTCCCACCGTATCACAGGTAGTAACTGATTGTGAAGTACCTGGACCGGATGAGGGACCTGAGGAAGGATCCCGATGGTCTATGCACTTTGACGGTGCCTCGAACGCTTTGGGTAACGGTATCGGCGCTGTGATCATATCCCCTAAAGGCACTCATACTCCACTTACTGCCCGACTATGTTTCAACTGCACCAACAACATGGCAGAGTATGAAGCATGTATCATGGGTCTTCAAGCTGCAATTGACTTAAGGATCAAGTTTCTGAGTGTCTTCGGAGATTCCGCTCTCGTGATCAATCAGGTCAAAGGCGAGTGGGATACGAAACACCCAAATCTTATTCCTTACAAGGAGTATGTGCTGACATTGCTTCCCCACCTCGAGGAGATAACTTTTGAACACTTCCCAAGAGAGGAGAATCAGTTAGCGGACGCGTTGGCTACGATGTCTTCTATGTTCAAAGTCAAATGGGACAACGAGGCTCCCCGGATCATTATCTGGAAATTGGATGAACCTGCACATTGCTGCGTTCTCGAGACCGAAGAGGTAACAGAAAAACCCTGGTATCATGAAGTGAAGAGGTACCTTGAAGCTCAAGAATACCCGAGGGTGCATCTGTTAATGACAAGAAGTTCCTAAGAAGGTTTGAGGCAAAATTCTTCCTCAGCAACGACATTATCTACAAGCTAAACTGGTGTACCCCAAAATTTTCCCTCCCATATTCTTCAAGATTTGCTAAGATCATGCTTCAAAATCTCCCAAGGGTTGCACAGTCCAATGGCCTCCTAACAGTCAAAAATTAGGGTTTTGGTTCTGGCAAAGAAATTGAAGTTTCCAAGGGTCCAATCAAGTCCCACATGCCTACAAACATGGTCAAGCATCCATATGCTAAGTTTCAAGACTCACAACACCAGATTGCACAGTCAAAAACCCTAATTGCTCAACAGTCAACTGTAGGGGCAAAATGGTCATTTGACAGTCAAAAGTCCAAATTTTTGGTCAACATCTTATTTTGAAGCCATAAACATCATTTGATCAATTCTTGATCATGATTCTCAAGGCATGGCTCAAAAAGTCTCAAGATGCAAAAGTTTCTATATTTGGACAGTTGAAAAAGTCAACTGCAAATTGACCAAGGCATAACTTCCACCTGGTTTATCAGAAAATTCCATCCAAAGCTCATTTTGAAGAGAATGACATTTCCTACAACTCATCTTCACACTTCAAGTCCAAGAAATGCTCTCACAAAAAGTTATCAATCTCAACATTATAGGTCATTTTCAAAAGTCAACAAAAAGGCACTTTAAGTCAAAGACCATAACTTGAGATTGGTAAATCAAAATGACATGGGACCAAAGGAATTGGTTAGAGGACTTCAAGACCTTTCCAAAATGTCCAAGAACATGATCAAAGCTTAAAAATTAAGCAAGATATGCCTTGTGGAAGTTGGGAAATTTTTGGGAATTTTGAAAAGTCAACTTTGCTTCAAATGCCTCAAAATTGCTAATGGGCCTCAATTTCCTCCATAAATCATCACCCAAAGGCCATGCACGACCCATTGACCCAAAGGGGAGTTATTTTCTTATTTTTAATTAATTAATTGAGTTTTTAATCCTATTAATTCATTTAATTAAAATTAAATATAAGAAAAATACTAAAATATGTTTTCCAAATCTTTTTGTGCAGCATATTCCCTCATCATGACCTAGACATTTCGTGTACCACATCAAGAGGCAAGATCTTCCAAAATAGGCATGTTTTTCATGACAAAAGGATTGAAAAAGATGCTTGAAAATCAAATATTGAAAGCATTAAAACAATGGACTTTGGGCTTGGATTGTTAACCTAATTCACTCCACATATATGCAAGAACATAAACCTAATCAGAAGAACAAGAAAGCTGCGCCTCAAGCATAAGAAAAAAACTTGCATTTTTTCACAAAAAGTCAAAACTGTTTTCATAGAGACAAGGTATTTCAAGGCCTAAAAAGTATCCCAAACGATTGCTGGAACCTTCCTGAACGTGACTCAATACTTTTCCAGTCTCCATACATCCAGAAGTGGTAGAATGACCTTGCCCTGTTCATGATATTTTTCACATTCGTATTTTGATTTGCATGCATTTTCCATACATTTTAATGCATGATTTATACTAACCTGATCATTCTAAAGCTAATGGTACCATCCAATTGAATTATAGACGCTTGTATGCAAAGTTACCATGGACGCAGGTTAGGGTTTCAGAAGCTTCCATTTTGGGCTTTGCGTATATGGAAAAATTAGACCATGAAACCTACACCATTGAAACCAGGATGTCCAGACGATTCGTTCTCATACCTCGCGCCCTTTTTCTTTTTCACTATGCTCTATTCGCTATTTTTGTAGGTACCATTTAGTGGGGGTTTAAAACCCCCGCTATCCATTGTTTTATTTTCAGGCAAAAACAAAGAAGCAAGGAAAGAGACGCTGAGGTGTTGAATGGTGACTGGACAGTTTAAACATTGGCGCGTCTTTTGTTCATTCCAGCATGATCTTGATTTTCCCATTATATTATTCATATTCCATTTAATTAACAAAGACAAGCGTTGGTTGAGTTGGTTGATGTGTTGTCATGCAGGCAATGGGACCTGGGTTCGATTCCCAGGTCCCCCATATTTCTTCCATATTTTTTCTTGTAACATGCTTCTATGCAGCGTGTCACCAAAAGACCACCATACACCTTCACATGCTGGCTTGCCACATAATCCAGGAGATCAATCCAGGGGCCAGAATCTGCAGTCCACCATGCGCATTAGTCAACTATTCCATACGCAATCACAAAAGTCCAATGGGCCTGGAATTGAATGGGCCAAATTGCTTGCAATGAACCTCCCAAATTGGGTCTGAATACCCTTTGGTTTGCACTTTTTTCTTTATTCATTTTTATTTGATTTTCTTTTCTTAAATTCTTTTAATTATTTTCTTTAATTTACCAAAATTAATTTTCATAATAAAACAAAAAAATCAGAAATCATTAAAAATAAAATATGTTTATTTAATTTTTAATTCTTTAAATAGTTTTTTTTGTAAATAAATTCCAATAAACAATTAGTTTAATTTTAGGTTTCATTTTAATGTTTTTTTCTTAAATAACCAAAAAATATAGAAAATAGGTTTTTAGCATTTTTATTCTCTTTTCTTAATAAATAACCTTTTATCTTTATCATTATTAATTATTAATTATTTTGTAAATAAGCTTGTAATTAATTAATTAGGGTAAATTAGGTTAAACTTAAACATTTTTTAATAATTAAAAAACAAACTTAGAATTAGGGTTTTATTTAATTTCTAATTGCAATTAATTCTCTTTATTTTCATAAATACCAAAAAAACATAAAAAAAAATAACTTATTTTCTTATTAAATAATTTAATTAATTTGTAATTTCAATTCAATTCCTTAAAGGGTCCAACGCCCTCGCACTTTCGCTTCTAATTTCTTTTCGCGCGTTTATTTACATTTCTCATTTTAAATATTATGTAATTGCCCCAAAGCCTTGTAATAGTAATTAAGACATTTACTTTCCGCACTTTTATTCAAAATCGGGTCTTTGTTAATTTGGCGATGTATAGACCCGCGCCTTGTAATAGCGTAGGACTTTTATTTTCCGCTCTTTAAATTCCGCACCTTTAAACTGTTAATCACATGGAAGAATGTATACCCAAATAAAATCAAAGCATAGCTCACCCAATGCATGACAAGACAAAATAACTGAAAATGACACACAATTCACACACCACTCCTAGGGTACGCCTCACTGTTGCCTTGCCCCTCGAAACGTGGTCGTCGAGTATATGACGTTTTAGTAAGTCCTCATGTCCATGAACTTGGCATGAGGGTAGCTTCTAAGGTGTCCTACTGTTGCTCTGGTGACCACACTGTCCCTAACCTTCGAATTGACCCGAACACCTCCAATGGTGGTGCTACCTACCTCTCAATGGTGGGATGGCACTCCCTTAAAGATATTAACACAGCCTAATTCCTTAGGGTAGATAGATGACTCGTAGATACTTGCTCTAATTCAAAACAAATCAAAAACTTCTTTTCACACCGACACTTTGCAAAAAGCTTTCAAAAACAACTTTTCAAACACTCTTGAGGACTGATACAAGAGTTGATCTGAAACTTTAAACGAAACTTTTTCAAACCCACAGTTGAAAAGCAAACAAACATTTTGAAAACACAATGAGCAAGTATCTAAGAGCCCATGGATAACCATGGATAGAAAGGGTGCTAATACCTTCCCTTTCTATAAATCTACCTCCCGAACCGAGAAACATTCTCAATAAGGAATTTTTCTGTGCTTTTGTCCTTTCCATATTGGAGAAAATAAAAGACGGTGGCGACTCTTGCTTCCGTGACATTTCGCGAACCAGCGTTAAACAGTCAGTTCCAGATCCACCGATCACAGAAACCATGATTCAAT